GTGTTGCTTGCATTGTTTTGTTCTGACCTGCTTTGTTTTGTTTTCTCTTTAAAATAAAAAATTAAAAGGAAATAAAAGAATCAAGAGATCACAAATGAAAAGAAAAAAGCAAGATACTCAATGAACCAAGCTCTACTTATAAACCTTTACCAGGAAGAAAAGCGAGGAAGAAAACAATTTACCAAGAGCAATAATACAAGAAAGGATTTCATTACAGTTCCAGAAAATGCACAGTATGCTCATATTGCCATCAGATTTAAATCACTTAAGTCTATAGCTTACACAAATGGACGTATTAGTAAGAAATCATTAGCTACTAAAATTTACCAGAAATCAAATTGTGTATAGTCTTAGATATTTCACAGAAATTGAACTGGTTGTTAAAAAGCTTTACAAAAATACCACAGAGGTATTTTATTTTCTTTTTTTAAAGCTACCAAACATTAAATGAAGATCAACTCTAAATAATTTCTTTCAGAAAATAACAGAGGAAATACTTCCACATTATTTTATGAGGCTAGCATTGTACTGATACCAGGAAAACTACAGGCTGATACTGTCTTAGCATTTGTACAACATTCAATAGAATATCACTAGTTTTTATTTAGCAATATCGTCATAAGCCACAATCAAGTGGGTTTTATATTAGAACTACAAATGTTTTCCTTTCACTAATTAAAAATCAGGAGAAGAAGAAAACTGACAGGATCATATCAAAGTACAGGAAAAACCATTGGATGAGATGCAAATCCATTGGTAACATTAAAAATTATAACACAGTAGAAATAAATAAAATACTATTTCCTGAACTTGTTAAAGGGCATGTACAAAAATCCCTACAACTAGTATCCCATTTAACAGTCAATGATTGACCCCTTTCTTAATAAAGTTGAGAATAATGCAGGAATGGCCACTCTTACCACAGCTACTGAATTTCATGCTAGAAACCTAAATGGTGCTCAATGCCTGCACAGTCATCAGTATACAAATAAGAAAGAAGAAAATGCTTTTCTTCTCATAGACTTTATGATAATCTATATACAATATTTAACATATGAGATATGATTGAAACATACTATGAGCTGGGTGTGGTGGCATACGCTTATAATCCCAGCACTCAGGAGGCTAAGGCAGGAGGTGTGCTGTAGGGTCAAGGCCAACCTGAACTACATAGTAAGACTCTGTCTCAAAAAGAAGAAAGAAAGAAAGAAAGAAAGAAAGAAGAAAGAAAGAATCCAATCAATGTTTACATTAAAATGGAATTGTTACAGTAATTAATCCACACTCAGAATATTCCCCTTTACTTCTAACACATTTATCTCATCATTCTTGACACTTTCTCAGGCAGTATGAAGTCCTTTGTCATATCTTTAGTTGCCTCGTTATGGCATACAGGTATGCCTCGTTATGGTTGCCTTCAAGTCTTGAACTGATTAAAAATATTTATCCTTTATGGTCATTCTGACTTTGCAGGAGAACCAGAAATCACAGATCTGTTAAGTAATATAAATGAGGACACAGTGTAATGTTTTTACAAGCCTTGCTTTTCCACTGGATGGAATATAACATCTTTACTGTATTTTTATCACAGCTTGTAAAACACTCATAAAAGAAGAACTGCTTCATAAAGTAGCAAGAATGATGGGAGAAGTGTGTTAGATGTAAGGGGGAATATTTTGAGGAGGTTAATGGCAATGAGTGCTTTACTGCAGTAGAAATTTTCAGCCTTTAATCATTCACTGAATATGCTGATCACACCTTGCATCTCCTCCAAAACTCTTAGAACCCATAAGTGAGTTTAGCAGTGATACAGGAGACAAGGTCAACACTGTAAATCAGCCATATGAATATGACAAGCCTAAGTTTAAAAATATTATTTATAGTAGCTTCAAACTCAGTTACATATATAACTAAATATATATAGGCTCTGTATGCTAAACACTATAAAATACCCAAAGAAATCAAAGAAAATTAAAATTAGAGAAAAATGCTATGTTCATAGATCAAAAGACTCAACAAGGGGGGGGGCAGTTATTCCCAAGTTGATCTGCCAGAATTAATGAAATGCCAACCAAAACCTTGGAAGGAAATTCTTCTCTATCTCTCTCTCTCTCACTGTCTCTCGCTTGCTCATTGGCTGACTGGCTATCTATCTGTCTGTCTATCTATAACTACGCAGGTTGATTCTACAATTCACGTGGAATTTTCAAAGTTCTGAAATAAGAATGTATTAGAGAAATCACATAATTTGGTTTTAATACTTCACATAAAGTTGCTGTAATTAAGAGCTCTGCTATCTAGGAATGGAGTAAACATAGAGATTGATGGTAGAAAACAGGGTTCATAAATAGGTCCAAACAAATATGGTCAAATGAATTTTTCTGAGACAGGGTCTTGTTGTGTAGTTGTGGCTGGCCTTAAACTCACTATGTAGCCCAGGATGACCTAGAATTTTCAGTGATCTTCTTGCCTTAATCTTCCAAATTCAGGGATTACAGGTATGCACCACTATGCCTGGTTTCAAATGAGTTTTGACAGGGATATAAATGAGAATTCAAGAGAAGGGAGAATTTTCCAACAAATGTTGTATATTCACATGCAAAAATATGAATCTCAACATCACTCCCTGTGTCTATACCCTAGAGAAACAAAAACTTAGGTTAACACACACAAAAAAGCTAGTTCAAGAATGTTTGGAGTAGTTCCATTCATAGTTACCTGGAACTAAAAACAACACAATTATCTTTTTTTTTTTTTTTTGTCCTTTTCGTTTTTATCAGTACCAGGGATCGAACTCATGACTGTCTGGTTGCAAGGCAGGCGCTTATGCCGCTGAGCTAAATCCCCAGCCCCCAACACAATTATCTTTCGATAAATGAATGGATAAGAAAGTGTGCTATCTATTCAATGAAAATTGCTCAACACTGAAAAATAATACGGTATTGACAGTTCATCCAAGATTTTGCATTATGTTAACTGAAAGAAACCCATTCAGAAGGCTATGAGCTGTCTGGTTTCATTTATGATGCTTCCCAAAAGACAAAATGATACCAACAGGAGAGATTATTATTTATCACAAACTAGGTATAGATGAAAGGGGTATATGAAGTGTTTTGGGGAGATGAACAAGTTCCCTAATCCTGATTGTGGTGGTGGCAGTAAGAATCTTCACTTATGTTCAAACTTAAAGAACTGTATTCCAAAAGGAGAAAAGTCAATCTTTTTTTGGGGTCTTTTTTTCCGTATCGGTACCAGGGATCGAACTCACAACTGCCTGCTTGCAAGGTAGGTGCTTATGCCGCTGAGCTAAATCCCCAGCCCCAGAAAAGTCAATCTTAATAAATGGAAACATCTACACAGTAGATTTTGCAACAAATACAGCTTTCTGTTCTATCAATAGACATGGGTTGAATAAATCCACATTTTAAAAAGATGAGGTCTGGCCCTGTCAGGCTGGCCTAATACTCGTGACATAGAGTGGGAGTATCTTACAAATCTTATATCATAGCATGGCCTCTTTGGATTTCTGAGGAGCAGGGATTAGAGGTGTGTTTCACTCTGCCCAGGTTTAGATGAATTTAAATTTTTTAACATTAAATGTTATATCAATACTTTAAAGCAGCATTTTAGCTTCTGTGCTTTGGGAAATGTGGAAGCTAAGAATATACTTACTGTTTCAGAACACCCTGGTATTTAGAAATCATTCTTCACCAAATATCAGGGTAGGAAACATAAATTATTAGATATTTTGAATCATGTGAGCAGGCTGTGCACATATACAAACTGTTACAGTCTGTGTCTGGATGTCTCCCCAAAGACTCATGTGGTGATGAGGGGTGGGCTTTTCAGAGGAGGCTGAATCTTGTGTTTGTGATTGATTCATGGTCCAATACTGGGATTAAGGATGTGAGTCCTACACCCACCCTACAGTGGGTACATACAATACAAGGAACAAAAAGAAGTCTGTTCCTCTGTTACTGCTTTTTCTGTCTTCTGTTGCTATGAACTGTTGCCTCTCTGGTGTGTGCCACCCTGCCTTGGAGCCAGCTGATTATGAATTGAAACCTTTACAGAGTTTGGCAACGTTGTGTGGTTTGTCCACCACAGAGCCCTGCCCCAAGTAGATGTTCACAAATATCTACCAGGTGAAGTAAAAACATGGATCCTCTATAAACAACTCACTTAAATGTTAACCCCATAGAATTCATATTGACCCATATGGCAAAGGACATTCCTGCACTGTGAGATCAGGTGATGGCCCTAACATCACACAACCAGGAAGAGACTGAATTCCATGCCAGGTCTGTCTGACTCCAGATGCATTTGCCCTTGGTGGCGGGGCGAGGCCTCTCTGGATTCTTGTGCCCCTCCGAAATCTGAACTAAAGAGTAATCTCTAGATACAGAGGTCAGGAATGAAAGACCTGGAGGCTGGTCCCTGCATCCAGAGCTCATCTGGGGATCAGGCCATTCCTAGAGCAATGTTACCACCTTTTTCTAGTGCCAGGCTGTCTTCTCAGTGACCCAAATATTGTCCAACAAACTTCATCAATTTCCTCTCATATTAGCTTACATTCTAGTGATAGGGACAAGAAAGTTACAGCTAAACAGGCAAATGCACTGCATGTTGGGGTGATGAGCGTTGTGGGGAGAGTTGTATTGATTTTGACAACTGAAATAATGACACTGGGGCTGGGACTGCAGCTCACTGGTATGGCACTTGACAGCCATAGAGAGGCACAGACCTGAACATGATCCCCAGCACTGAAAACAAACAAACCCCAAAACCAAAATAAGCAAAACAGTGACAGTATATGATATTTTTGCCAACTTTCCCAAATGGTAGGGAACATTCCTATGAAGATAATTTCTGTTTTAAAGAACAGGATTCCTTTAATGATAACATGTCATACTGTGATGCTTTTCCAGAAATGGTAAATTCTCATGGGTAAATGACTGAGCCCTATGCAAGGCAAAGAGTGCTAGAAAGTATCCACCTACCTTCTAGGATGCCAGGGAAAAAGGAGTCTGTGTCGCAGCCATATAAGTGGGTCAGTCAGCGCTGTCCAGTCTTTTGCACACAGGTGTTCTGTAATTTTGGGGCTTCCATGTATAAGCTCTATCCTACCAGGCTGAGAATGGAGGGTATGGCATTAGTACTGTCACATAAAGTACAGTGATATCAGTAAATACCTAGCAGTGCCTGGTTCTGAGTGTAAAAGAAAATGAAGAAACCAACATGGGAGCTCAAATGAGGGTCTTAGGGACTAGGAAAGATGAGGAGGGGCCAAAGCAGCAGGAGAAAGTCTACAAGAGAATCTCTTCTTGCCAGTGAAGAACTCACCTGGTCACAAAGGTCACTGATCAGTGAGCTCACATCACATATACTGATGACAGTCAGCTGAGGGACATCTACACCTCTCATCTACAAAACAACACAACCTGAGTGGCGAGGATATATTCATGCAAGCAGCCTTTACCAAGAATACATTGTGTTCAGTGGCCTTGTTGGTGAGATATCCAGTGTAGCCCCATTGTGAAGACAGAGCTCAGTCTCAGGAAGTGAAATTCTGTTCAAGAAATGCTATAGGGAGTAAAAGACTGGGGACTCCACTGATGGTAGACAATTGGCAGTAGAGTGGGGATAGAAGACACGATGCTTCCTACCCCTTCAATGAACAGAAATCTGAACACAGGATCTGCTATATCCACTCACCCACAACATATTATTTCTAGCTGGCATAATGATACCTGTCAACTGAGAAGTGGGAAACTATGGCACTCATAGCACATGATTCTGGACCCTAGGCAGTGTGGGGAGAAAAAAACATACACACTGGATGAACAGAAAATCCAGCTGAAATACTTTCGGCATCTGCTCACGCACAACACATAGTACTTTAGGATAACAGTCCTCAGAGTCCTACCAGTGTTTGAAGCAAGGCACTGAACAAAACAAGGCTCAAATCATGAGCCATGGAAGGATTGGAACAGAGAGGCGGTCCTGAAGCCCAGGTGGTCCGGAAGAGCTGCTTCCTTAGGCTGGTGTGACACACAGTGCAGAAAAGTAGGACCAGTGATGTTTCACAAGGCAGAATTTTCAGATTTTGGAATATTTGCATACACATAATGACGTATTTCAGGGATGAGACTGGAGCCTAAAAATAAAATCCTTTTGCGTGTTATTATAGATGTCATATACACACAGCCTAAAGATAATTTTATAGAATACTTTCAATGCATCTGTGATTGTGTGTGTATTCTGTGTGTGCTCATGCTCGTGTGTGTTTGCTGGGGATTTAACCCAGGGTCACAGGGATGCTAAGCACACCCTCTATTGCTGAGCTACACTCCTACCATGACTGCAAAGTATCAGAGGTTAGGTGTGGAATTTTCCATTTCCAGTATCATGCTGGTGCTCAAAAATATTCAGGTTTTAGAGTATTTTGGTTTTGGAGTTTCAGATTAGGGACCCTGGGTTTGTATTACTATCCCTACTTTCAAATGATATAAACGAGGATCGGAGGAGTTCAGCTACTCAAGGTCACACAGGTAGGTAGTGACAATATTTATTTCTCACTTACATAGGTCTTTAAAATGGAAAGGTCTCTGTACTATTCCTTACATCAATCTCTCTCACTACAGTCAGCTGCTGTAATTCACATTCAGCATCTTGTGCTTATAATGCCCTCCTTACCTTGAAATTGTAATTATCTGCTGATATCATACATAGATTCTGTTATAGCCCAGGACTATTACTTTAAGAATGTCAATTCTCCCTGTAATGAATGACTGCCTGGCTTAGAACTAAACAGTAATCTTGAGAGCAGCTTCAACCCACTTGCTGAGGAAACAGATTACCAAGATGTAGTTTTAACTATTTCATAGAACACACAAATGATTTTCAGCGCAGTTTATCTCTAACCAAAAAGAGTTCAAGCAGTGCTTCCCTACAAAATTTGTACGCCAAACACTGTGTTGAATGCCAAGATGGTCCAGGTAAAGAGACACTGCCCCTGACAGGGAGCTGCTGAAATTTTGCTCCTTCAAATATACAAATCCTTCCTTTCTGGCCTTTCTCTCCGTGCTGGTAGATACACTGAGAGGCTTAGCCAAGCCAGGCCATTCACTTGGCCTTTTTGGATAAGTCAAACAAAACAATCCTAAAACATACTGCTGAACACACAAATCCGATACCCCCAAGAAGGCTGTGTGAATCTAGGGAGATGATACTGGAAATCTGTGACTAATCCTAACACCACATTTCTGAACCCACTGAAGTCCACTGCTGTACTCAAGCAAAGGAGACAACCAAAGATTCCTTTCTTCCCTGACTACCACACACTTCAGCCTGCACAGTTACTTGATAATGACCCATATTTGTGCGCTAAGGCAGGAATCTCAGAGCCTATGAAAAGCATGTGTACTCATTCCTAAGTCACATCCTGACCACAGACCCTCTCAAGAGTTCTAGGAAGAGTTTTTCTAATGGTTCCGTTTGAGAAATGTTGCTGGTCTCGAAAACATTTGAATGATTCTGTCTCACACTGTGGGGTGGGAGAGGAGGAGGGGAGAGAGGCGATGCCAAGGGAACTGGTTACTTCTGGGGGAGTGTTTATTTCCTTTTTCTTTTTCTTTTTGTAAATCGGGGTCTTGCTATGTAGTTCAGGCTGGCCTTGAACTCTCTGTAGCTCAGGCTGACCCGAACTTGGCACAAACCTTAAGTGCTGCGATTACAGGCATGTGCCACCACGCAAGATTGAAATGGGTTATTTCTGAACCAATCTCGAATGTGACGCCTGTGACACCCTGGCTGCTAAATGATGCCCACAGAAAGTTTACATCCTATTTCCTCTCTTAAAAGACAGCAGTCTCCCGCTACAGAAAGAGCAATATGCGACACGCAGACTGTTCAAACGCCATTCTGATGGCGAAGCGAAGGGCTCTCCAAGAAAAACAACACTCCTCTCCGGGGCGCCCTTCACTATTGGCCGAGGGACCATTGTGGTCTCGACACACACTTGCCCTGGTGCCCCACTCCTCTTTCCTTCTCTCCCCTGCCCCACTGTAGGGCGGTTGTTGTCCCTGACTCTCCTTCCCGCCTGCCTGAAGCTCTGGCTCCCTCTGCATCCTGCACCACCCTCTTCCTCCGTCTCTCATTTGGCCTCTCGGGCCTCTCTGGTTTGCTCCTGAGCTCTTTCTGTGGCGCTTTTTCTATGTCTCCCTCTCCATCCCTTTTCCTCTCTCCCCGGCCCCTTGGGTTCATCCTTCTCAGTATCGCTCGGCCTGTCTCACGCGCATTCGTTCTCCAGTGCAGGTCTCGCCGTCCACTCGCAGGCGCGCCGCCTCCTTTCCCCAGAGCAGGAAACACTGCGAAGCGGAAGAAGTCAGGAAGGGGTTAAGATCGCCGAGAGGAGCCCGCATCTGGCGGCTAGAGAGGCGGAACAGGGAAAGCCGTGTGCACGCGCCAGGCCTCGGTCACCCACCCGGAAGCGACGTCTCAGAGCAGCTGGGCCTTTTTTTTAAGGCTGCGGCCACTGCAGTAGCAGTCCGAAAAGGTGGTTGGGAGTGCCACTGCCAGTGAGGCCTGGCTGCTGATTGGGACTCGCGCCATTCCCCTCCGCCCCGCCTAGACCACTTGTCCCAGCTGACTCCGAATAGCGCCCCGCCGCGGCCCCCGGAGCAACCTCTGCCCTGTGGGTTTAGGAATCCATGCTGTTCGTCAAGCCCGTGGGAAGCGACTCCTGGGAGCGGACGTGACGTCATCGACGTGGCCCGTGGGAGCCGCGGAGAGGTCTCGAGAGGCTGCTGGCCCCAGTTCAGCGGGCTGGTTCTGGTGCAGAGCATGCACGTGAAAATCGATCGCGGATTTTGCTTTGGTTCATTGCCTGGTTGTGCGTGGGCGAAAGAAGTCCAGCAGGCAAGAGGAAAACCAAATCAGTAAAAAGTTTCGCTCATGAGTTTCATTTGTTAGGCCTTATCTGCACTTATTGGCAGAGAGCTCCAGATGTGTCGGCTAGGGTGTCTCAGTGAGGTTGCACTTTCCTTTTAGAGGAAGGAGCAGACTAGCTGTAATGGGGAGAGTTTCTGCAGGTGTGAGGGTTGTAATCAGAAAAGCTTGAAGTCTGCTGAACCAGGGGATGTTTAGCTCTGTGCCCAACTATTTTTAGCGGGACAAACTTCCTTTCTAAGTGTATCACTCTCGAGAAACAAGGAACAAGAAATAGAAGGTCTGTTACCTGAGAGTGTTACAGAGTGAGGGCAGAGTGGACGCACAGCAAGCCTCATTAGCTAGGTCTTACCGGGAAGCCTGGCCCTGTGTGGGCAGCGGTTTCCTAGGACAAGAAAGTGTAGGGATTTTTGTGCCGTGGCTTGTTTCGGGAAACAGGTGAAGCTCAACATGGCCAACAAAGTGAATTTAAGCCAGATGTCTTTCACGTGCGTCTAGGCAGATAGGTACATAAGATTAGATTCCCTTTTTACCATGAAAGTGTCTTACCATGCACAGCCATTTGTAACATTTAAAAATAATTTTTTTGTGGTCTAAAGGCCAAAATGAATTAATCCCAGAAGACTATCGGGGCCTGCCTTTTACAAATGAGGTGACTCACACAGAGTGTAAGTCACTTGCAAAAGGTCACACAAAGAATAAATGGTGGCTCAGATTGAATGGTAGATGTCCGTGGCTTTACTACATCCCTGGTATGCAGCCCTACACTGTTCTTTCAAGAAGCACATAATCTAGCTTAATCTTCTAAACTACAGACCTCTTGAGACAGCTGACAACCCTCACCCTTCCCAGTCACGTGGCACTGAACTGTTTCTACACAACCTACAGGGCAGAGAATAGTGTAGAAGATCTTAGTAAAGGCTCATGTTACTCCACTGAAGGAGACAGACAGACTCCAGACAGGACAGTAGAGGATCTGAGGAGTATGTTTCAGTGGGAGACAGGCTGATGGGATATATTGCACAAAAGTGATAAGAAACACTGACAGTTTGCAATTTTTTAACCCCTTTTCTTGTTTCCTTCCTGCCTGTACTGACAATACCATTCTCAAAGTTGATGTGTAAACCAAACCAACAAACAAAGGAAATAAACACAAAACCAAACCAACATGGGTAGGAGAGAGATTCCCGTTTTACCTGGGGAGTATGTGGCCATAAGAGCATCATGCTATGGTATGTAATGTATAAAATATTATTCTGTGCTAAGTGAATGTTGTGTTTCCTAATTAGTATTATTCTCATGTAACAGGTGAGGTATGTTAGGTATAAAGAGGTTAGGTCAGCTTCCCAAATTCCCTCGTTATATGTGGTTGAGTTTTGTAGCTACTAATGCTCAATATGTCCCATGCTGATGGTGTCCACCCTGACCCTTTGCCATTTGCCCTTCCTATAGTGCTGCCCAACTCAGCAAAAGATAGCACCTTCTTTCTTGCTGCTTAGGCTAGAGGTGCTTGAAGCCATCCTCGATGACTGTCCCTCTGACTAGCCCAGTAATCCCAAAGCCCAGACCTCAGTGAGGCTTTGTAAGGAAGAGTTTTATAATCCCATCTATCCACTACCACAGTTAGTCCAGTCACCCTCATCTCTCTCCTGGACAATCACCATCAAGTCAGAGCTCATGCTCTTGCCACCAGTCCTGACCCTTCCTGCACACTGTATCCTAAGGCCAGAGGGGATTTCCCACTTGCCAAGCAGGTCATGTCACCCCTGTTGAAATACTGCAGGTTTTCCCACATGTTCTTAGAATATAAGCAGTCTTTTAGACTGGGCACATCTGGCCTTGCCTAGTCCCAAATAACATTTCAAGCATGTCGCTCCCTCTCACATCTGACACCTACATTCTAGCCAATCTAATGTTCTTTTGCTCAGCAGGTGACCCACCCTCAGCCTTTTCCTTGCTGTGATATGGATATCCTGCTGATGAACTTACCTTTCTTTTGTATACTCCTCCTCCTTCCTCATCTACCTGATTTTTACTTACCTTCTGTTTTCAGGTGAAGGAGAGCAATTTCCACTTTAATTGGGATTAGCTGGGTGAAGAGGCACACTTAATGTTTTGCTATCCCATGGTAGAAGTTCATAAGAATTCCCCAGATGACTCAAGTAATTGTAATAGAATCTGAGGGCAGGGTTTTTGAAGGCAAGTTTTGTTTGCAAATATGTATGATACTGAGATGTGACTAAAGAGGGTAAAAGCTTAATTTTGCTACACTGTAGTAATCATGTCCCTCTATGTATGTGTACAAGCCTATGAAATCATGTTTCATACCTCCTATGTACATATTAAAAAGTTTTAAAGAAATAAGGACACCTCCATAAACAAAATGCAAGCATATGTACAGAAGCTTTAAGAAGAAGTGTACAGCACACATAGCAAAGATTTGCCTCTGATTCATATGGACCTAATTGAGTTTGATACTTGTAGTTTTTTTTTTTTTAGACATGGTCTTGTTATGTAGTTCAGGCTGGCCTTAAATTCACAGCAGTAATGCCTCATCCTCCAAGCGCTGGAATTACGGTTGTGAGCTGCCATGCGTGACTGGTCAGTATTTTTAAAGTTTTTTTTTTTATTTTAAAGAGATTAAGACAAAAGAGGAAACAAAGCACATCAGAAAAGAATGATGTAAGCCACACAATACTTCAACACAATACAACTGCATATCAACAGTAGCCACCATAATGTCTCTTTCTTTGAAGTAGTTGAGCATACCTTCACATACAATAGTATCAAACATAACAAAACAGTCTAAAACCATTCAAGAGAATGAAAGTATTACAAGGCATTCAGAAACAAATAATCAAAAATGAACAATGGCCAAGATATTATCTCATTTTACATAGAAAATTTGTTTATACTATTACAAATATTAAAATCTAATAAGATACAACATGATAGAACTAATGGAAACAGAAGAATAGAAGCATGGTAGGACTTCAAAGCAAGGTGATATTAAATCAGCCCTGGCTATTATAATGTCTTGTTTTCTTCAAAATAGCTGTTCATACCATCACAGATAATAAAATCAAACAAACCAGTATAAAACCATTCCAACTAAGGAATGGAAGCATTATAAGTCTTCAAAGCAGTGCAATGGGGAATCATGATTCCCATAAAATCTTACATACTCTTACCATTTCTTATACTAGGGAAACTGTATGGTATTTGTACACGTGAGTTGGATTTATTTCCCTCATGAGTATGGTCTCCACTTGTGTCCATTTATTTATAAATATCTCAATGTGATCATTCTTTATAGCTGAGTAGTATTCCATTGTATGAAAGTACCACATCTTTTTTATCCATTTCTCAGTTGATTGACACTTAGGTTGTTTCCAAGATCTGGCTATTACAAATAGTGCTGCTATAAACATGGGTGCACATATATCATTGTGGTATGATGTTTTCAGTTTTTCTGGGAATATGCCTAGAAGTGGAATAGTTGGAGCAAATGGGACTTCCAATGCTAACTTTTTGAGAAATCTCCAGACTGACCTTCACAGTGGTTGCACCAGTCTACACTACCACCAACAGTGCAGGAGAGTTCCTTTTTCCCCACAGCCTCTCCAGCATTTGTTGTTGTTGGTTTTCTTGATCCTGGCCATTCTTTCTGGAGTGAGATGGAATCTCAGTGTGGTTTTAATTTGCATTTCTCTAATGAATAATGATGATGAACAGTTTTTCATGTATTTATTTGCCATTTGTATTTCTTCATCTGAGAACTGTGTATTCATCTCAGATGCCCATTTTTAGATTGGGTGTTTGAATTTCACGGGTCTAATTTTAAAAAATTTTTTTAATGTTTTAGACAGAAGTCCTTTGTCTGAGGGACAGTTTACTAAGCGTTTTTTCCCCCCAGTTTTTGGATTTTCTTTTCACTATGCCGGAGATTACTTTTGACATGCAGAAACTCTTTAATAAGACACGAAGTGATCCCAGTTATTCATTCTGGGAACAATTTCCTGTGCGGTTTGATTCCTGTTCGTGAGCTCTCTCCCCATCCCTATGTCTTTAAGACTTTTGCTTAATTTTTCTTCCAACAGATTTAGTATTTCTGTTTTAATATTCAGATCTTTGATCCCTTTAGATTTTAGTTTAGTAAATGGTGCTAGGCATGGGTTTATTTTTAGTTTTCAGTATATGGAGAGCCAGTTTTATCAGCAACATTTATTAAAGAGATTGTCCTTCTTCCTGAGAATATGTTTGGCTCCTTTATCAAAAGGTGGTTGAGTGTGTTCGTAGTTGTGGTTGTATCATGTAATCTATTCCAATGATCTTCATATCTGCTTTTATTCCAGTATTATATTGATTGTATTATAGTAGCTCTGTAGTACTTCAATATCAGGAATTTTGATGTCCCCTGCCTTACCTTTGCTGCTTAGAATTGTCTTTGTTATTCTAGGTCTCTTCTGGTTCCAGATGAATTTTATTTTATTTTATTTTTTAAATTTTATTTAAGAGGAAAAAGAGAAAAACACAAAACAAAACAAAGCGGTATAAGGGTACACGTAATACAGAACTACAAAAAAAAAAAAAAACCAAAACAGTAAGAAATCACCTGTTAATAGATTACATATTATAATCTTAGAAATAGTTGCTCATATCACAGTATCAAAGAATACAAAGTGGACATTCAAACAGAGAGACTGCAAACAGCTGTGTTCAATGATCCAAAAACATTAATATAGTCAGCTATTTAACACCCCTAAACACACTTGCTGTTATATCCGTTAGACCTCTTTTTTTTCCCCCCTCTCTTTTTTACAACAAAATTTACACATTTTGGATTTTATTACTCCTTAGTTCTTATTACTTTTTTGGGGGGGAGAGAATAAAGTCAAATATGGCAAAACAAAGCTGTCAGTCAAAACCAAAGATAGACATAGCGCATGATGTAGAACAGAGTACAAGGTTATCAACAGTGGTTATCAACGTTGTCTCTTGTTTCCTTAAAAAGAATTGTCTATCTCATTAGATATTATAAAGTTGGACAAAACAGTAGAGAACAAGACCAATAAAACTTAGGCATTGTAAACATTACAGGACTTCCAAAAGAGACAATAGTCAAACCAGAATGGGCATCTTAAGCCTTCAAAGTAGTTGCCTATACCCTCAAACTTGATACTATCATACAGAATGTAACAGAGTCTAATCAGTCAAAACAAGATAGTGGGAGTATTACAGGACTTCAAAACAAGTTAATAGGAAATCAAAAAGAGTTACTATTATATATCCTAATTTTTAAAATTTTTCCCCTTAATTAAAAAAAACATACGAAATAACTAAATAATTTTTTTAAAGAATAAGGGAGAGATTGAGATAAAACAGGACATAACAATATAACAATACAGGTCAAAGCATGGGACTGTTTCAGCAACCTAGTGCTTCACCACCAAATAACACGACTTAATAGTAGTTACCATAGTGTCTGTCTTTTTCCTTGAAATATTTGGATAAAAGTTCATATACTATAGCTTCAAGTATTTCCATATCAAGTAGCCCAGAATAAAGCCTTTCTAATTAATAAGTGAAAACTTTATAAGGCTTCAAGGCCACATAATGGGGAATCATGATTACCACATATTTTTATATATTTGAATCATTACTTACATTAGGGAAACTATTCGGTATTCACACATGCGAGATTGATTTATTTCACTTATGAGTATGGTCTCAAGCTGCGCCCATTTATTGATAAATATCTCAATGTGATCCTTCTTTATAGCTGAATAATACTCCATTGTATAGAAATACTACTTTTTTATCCATTCCTCAGTTGATGGACACTTGGGTTGTTTCCAAGATCTGGCGATTACAAACTGTGCTGCTATAAACATAGGTGCACATACATCACTGTGGTATGATGCTTTCAGTTCTTCTAGGAATATGCCTAGAAGTGGAATAGCTGGAATAAATGGGATTTCCAATCCCAACTTTTTGAGAAATCTCCAGACAGACCTCCACAAAGGCTGTACCAGTCTACACTCCCACCAACAGTGCAGGAGAGTTCCTTTTTCCCCCACAGCCTCTCCAGCATTTGTTGTTGTTGGTTTTCTTGATCCTGGCCATTCTTTCAGGAGTGAGATGGTATCTCAGTGTGGTTTTAATTTGCATTTCTCTAATGACCAATGATGATGAACATTTTTTCATGTATTTATTTTCCATTTGCATTTCTTCATCTGAGAATTATGTATTCATCTCAGATGCCCATTTTTGGATTGGATCTTTGAATTTTGGAGGTCTGAGTTTTTTTTAATTCTTTATATGTTTTAGACAAGAGTCCCTTGTCTGAGAGAGAGTTCACTAAAATCTTTTCCCAGTTTGTGGGTTTTCTTTTCACTATGCTGGAGATTTCTTTTAACATGCAGAAACTTTTTAATAAGAAGTGGTCCCAGTTATTGATTCTGGGAAGTATTTCCTGTGCGGTTTGAGTCCTGTTCATCAATTCTCTACCTACTCCTGTGTCTCCATGGTTTCTACCCAATTTGTTTTCCAATAGATTTAGTGTTTCTGTTTTAATATTCAGATCTTTGACCCATTTAGATTTTAATTTAGTACATGGTGATAGACATGGGTCTAGCTTTAGTTTTCGGCAAATGGAGAGCCAGTTTTTCGAGTACCATTTATTAAAGAGACTGTCGTTCTTCCAGTGAACCTGCTTGGCTCCTTTTAAGGTGGTTGAGTGTCTTTGTAGTTGTGGTTGTATCTTCTAATCTATTCCATTGATCTTCGGCTCTGTTTTGAGTCCAATACCATGTTGATTTTACTACTGTTGCTTTGTAGTATAACTTCAAGTCAGGGATTGTGATGCCTCCTGCTTTGTCTTTGCTGCTTAGAATTGCCTTTGCGATTCTAGGTCTCTTCTCTTTCCAGGTGAAATTTAGCAGTGATTTCTCTAGATCTGTAAGGTATGTTGATGGTATTTCTATTGGGATTGCATTGAATCTGTATAAGAGTTTTGGGAGAATGGCCATCTTCACAATGTTTGTTCTTCCTATCCATGAGCAAGGGATGTCTTTCCATTTTCTGAGATCATCCTCAATTTCCTTTTTCAGTGTGTTATAATTTTCACTGTATAAGTCTTTCACTTCTTTTATAAGAGTAATTCCTAAATATTTCATTTTTTTTGCTTGCTAATGTGAATAGTTCAGTTTCTCTTATTTCCCTCTCTGTGATTTTGTTGTTCGTGTATAGGAATGCTATTGATTTCTGAGTATTGATTTTGTATCCAGCCACATTACTGAATTTATTTATTGTATCTAAGAGTCTTTCAATGGAGTTTAGGGGGTCTTCTATGTAGAGTATCATGTCATCTGCAAACAATGATAATTTAACTTCTTCTTTTGCTATCTTTACCCCTTTTATTTCTCTTTCTTGCCTAATTGCTCTGGCTAGTACTTCCAGAACTACATTAAATAGGAGTGGTGATAAAGGACATCCTTGTCTTGTGCCTGATTTTAAAGTAAAGGCTTTCAATTTTTGGCCATTTAGTATGGTGCTGGCTGTTGGTTTGTCATAAATGGCCTTTATTATATTGAGGTAAAGAACATCTATTCCAATTTTCTGTACAGTTCTTATCATGAATAAATGTTGGACCTTATGGAAGGCTTTTTCTGCATCTATAGAAATGATCATGTGATTCTTATTTTTGGCTTTATTGATATGGTGGATTACATGTATTGTTTTGCGTATGTTGAACCATCCTTGCATTCCTGGGATGAATCCCACTTGGTCATGGTGTATAATATTTTTGATGATTTGCTGGATCCTATTTGCCAATATTTTATTGAGGACTTTTGCATCTGTGTTCATTAGGGAGATCGGTCTATAGTTCTCTTTTTTAGTTGGGTCTTTCTCAGGTTTTGGTACTAGAGTAATATTTTCTTCCAGGAATGACTTAGGAAGGATTGCTTCCCCTTCAATTTCATTGAATAGTTTGAGGAATGTTGGCATTAGGTCTTCTTTGTATTTCTTGTAGAATTCTGCAGTGAATCCATCTGGGCCTGGGCTCTTCTTGGTGGGTAAGAACTTTATTACATTTTCAATTTCATTAACAGAGATTGGGTTATTGAACAGTTTTACATCCTCGTGATCTAGCTTTGGTACTTCATATGCTTCTAAGAATCTGTCTCTTTCTTCTGTGTTATCAAACTTTTGAGAGTAGAGGTTTTCGAAATAGGTGTTGATGATCTTCTGTATTTCTATTGGGTCTGTAGTGATTTCACCTTTTTCATTTCTTATTGCATGAATTTGAGCTTTTTCTTCCCTTTTTAAAATAAGGTTGGCTAGGGGCTTATCGATTTTATTTATTCTTTCAAAGAACCAACTCTTTGATTCATTGATTCTTTGGATTGTTTTCTTAGTCTCTATTGCATTGATTTCTGCTCTGATTTTTATAATTTCCTCTCTTCTTTTGGCTTTGGGCTTGACTTGCTCTTCTTTTTCTCACTGTTTGAGGTGTAGCATCAAGTTATTTATTTTTATTCTTTCTGTTTTCCTGATGTGGGAACTCAGTGCAATAAATTTTCCTCTGAGGACGGCTTTCATTGCATCCCACAGATTCCAGTAATTTGTATCTGCATTTTCATTTTTTTCAGGTATTGTTTAATTTCTTCTTTAATTTCTTCTGTGACCCACTGATTACTCAAGAGTGTGTTATTCAGTTTCCATGTGTTTGCGGATTTTTGCAGTATCTTTTATCATTAATTTCTAATTTCAGAGCGCTATGATCCGATAACATGCAAGGGATGAATTCCACTGTTTTGGATTTGTTTAAAAATTTTCTGTGAGCTAATATATGGTCTATTTTAGAGAATGATCCATGTACTGCTGAGAAGAATGTGTATTCTGATGTTGTTGGGTGGAACATTCTGTATATGTCTATCAAACCCATTTGTTCACAGGTGTGATTCAGTTCTGTTATTTCTTTGCTCATTTTCTGTCTGGTTGATCTGTCCCTTGGTGTCAATGGCGTATTAAGGTCTCCTGTTACAATTTTGTTACTGATAATTTGAGTTTTTATTTTTGTTAATAATTGTTTTATATAACTGGGTGCTCTGGAGTTTGGTGCGTATATATTTAAGATAGTGATCTCTTCCTCTTGGAGTTTTCCCCTTATGAGTATGTAGTGACCTTCTTTGTCCTTTATGGTGATTGTTCGTTTAAAGTTCACGTCTGCAAACAGAATGGCTACTCCTGCCTTTTTTTTGATTCCTGCTGCATGAAGAATTGTTTTCCATCCTTTGACTTTCAGTCTGTGAGTATCCTTCTGGGTTAGATGGGTTTCCTGTAAACAGCATATGGTTGGATTTTGTTTCTTGATCCATTTTGCTAGTCCGTTTCTTTTGATTTGTGCATTGAGACCATTTACATTAATGGTTATTACTGTTAAATGCTGGTTAATTGTAGGAATGTTATCTCTGTGCTGTTGCATCTTTATCTTTCTGTTCTGTTTAATTATTTGGTTTTCTTAGTGGTTTTTTCCTTTGTGTATCTAAACTGTCTTTCAATATTTTTTACAGGGTTGGTTTGGTGTTCATGAAGT